TGCTGAATTTCGGTTAAAGATCGAAGGAGCTTCGTCCAGTTCAAATATTAAGGCATCTGAAGCGTATCGACGAATGTACAGAATCGTAACTTGCCTGCTGATTTACTTGACTCTGACGTAGGTCTAAACGGAGATTGGGATGCACCTTGGCCGAATCAAGTTTCAGACGAGGTATCAGTATACCATCAAGAATAAGAGTAACTACCGACCTCCCATCGGCCGGCATTCTCCCGCCCTTGACCCCTTCACCCTTCTGTGGACCTCCAGAGACTGAGAAACTGGCCTGCTTGTATATGGATACTCAAGGTCTATTTAATAAACTGGCCGAACTAACAGATCGCCAAGCTTCCGGGTCATATGATATCATAGGTATCACCGAGACGTGGTTGCACACGGGAACGATGGAGGCTGAAGTTTCGCTACAGTGCATATCGCTGATCCGAACGACAGACTCACAAAAAGAGGAGGGGTAGTCCTGTATTACCGAACAGACTTACAGTGCGAAGTTGTGGAAGATTCAGAATCACAGTCCCTTGACTCGCTTTGGTGCCGCTCGCAGTTAAAAGTGAAAGACGCTTGCGTTACTGTCTTGGTGTATCGCCCCCTAACTCTACGCCCGAAACCGGCTACCACCTAGCGGTTGCTTTAAGATGCAGTTTACAGCGAAAGTACTCTCACATACTTATCATGCGTGATTTCAACGTAAATTGTGTAGAAACTCCTGCCACGATCGGAGAACAATTCAGAACCGATCTACAAGATCTCATAACCATTGTTCCTCATTACAATCACACCACTTTGCCCACTCGGGCAGAACTGGTAACAGTCCAACTGTGCTGGATCCTGTGCTTACCAACGAGAAGTATATGATTGATGTGTTGGTTTTAGACTATCCGTTGGGTCGCAGTGATCACGCCGTGATCGGTTTCAACTTCGTCTGCTATGCAGAATATCTGAATGAGAACGATGAGACTGTGCGAACCATCACAAGGTACGACCAACACGCCAAGCTCGTCAGCGCCACAACTTGGTCTTTCCTCGAAGAAGAACCCCCGGAAGTCGCCTGAATCAAGTTCGTCAACAAATTCAGTCAGCTGCTTGCAGAGTTTGCAATAGGTGCACATCAGTTTCTTTCGTTAGAAGCAGAACGTGAAAATGGATGACAGTACGCAACGCAGCATGGCGAGTGTACAGAGAAGCTCCAGCACCAGAAATTTGGGACAGCTACGTAGCTCAACGTAACCACTGCAGTTAACTGCTAAGAGAAGACAAAGCCTCTGATCAGCAGAAAATCGCAAAAATCTTCAGTGCTAATCACAAACTGCTGTACAAGCACGTCAATAGACTAAGAAATATGAGGCAAGGATTTCCTCCACTCTGGACGGCTGATGGCCCAACAAGAATGGCTGTGGAAGCAGCGAACGCGCTGCGGATGCAATATGCCCACACGTTTCAAAGGGTCTTGTCAACAACAATCTTCCAACCTTTGTCGTCTCCTCGCCAGGACTAACCCATGTAACTCACCGCGGAAGTTGTTTTGCAAAAGCTGAAGTCTTTACGCAAACACAGCTCGCCAGGTGTCGACACCATTCGTCCAGAGGCACTGGAAGCAGCAGCAAGCTAACTGGCAGGACCTTTAGCTCAGTTGTTCCAGTGCTGCTTAGACCGGAATCAAGTTCCCACCATGTGGAAGCTTGGAATAATAACCCCGATTCACAAAGGTGGAAGCATAAATGCACCCACCAACTACCGCCCAGTATCCCTTCTTCCTATACTCTCCAAGGTCATGGAATCCATATTTCCCGATGCACTGGTGTGATATCTGGAAAACTGCAACATCACCACGCCTAAGCAGCACGGTTTCCGTCGACAGCAGTCATGCACAACGAATTTATTAATCGCGCGCAGTGGTTGGACGGAGTCAGCTGACGCTGGAGAAGGTGTTGATGTGATTTGCGTGGATCTTACGAAGGCTTTCGATCGCCTAGACCATCGGATAGTACTCTCCAAGCTCCAGCAGTACGAGATCGGCGACCCTCTTTTAAGCCGGATTGCCAACTTTCTACTTCAACGTCAAGTAGTGGTCACAGTTTGGAGCTCTTTATCGGACCTCATGCAAGTCTAGTGTGGTTATGCTACAAGGCTCAGTTCTAGGTCCACGATTGCTTTTGCTGTTTATTAATGAGTTTACACAAAAAATCGTTTCTAACTTCCTAATATTTGCCGACGATATCAAGATTTGGCGCAGATCCAGGCGAACGCCAACCAGCATCTGCTTCAGTGACCTAGACACTTACTGCATTTCAACGTCAGTAAATGCAAGGTACTTTCCACCCGACATCAGAACAGCTATTCACACAGGCTCGGAACGAATGTACTGCAACAATCAACTGGTGAACGTGAATTGCGTGTCTTGGTTCAAGATGACTTGGGTTGCTCCAGGCAACACGAAAAGACTGGAAACTAACACGTCGGGCTGTTGCGACGGGCGTTTGGACAAATAAATAGCTCCATATTTCGACAAATGCTCAATGCGCATGTTCGCCCCCATGTCGAATGCGCAATTCAAGTCTGGCATCCATGGCTGGAACACGACCTTAATGCACTGGAGCACCCACAACATCGGGCATTCAAGAAGGTGCAATCTTCCATACCAGGAGAAGCTGCAACGATTGGTGGCATTCAGTGGAAGCTATCGCAGACTACGAGGCGACTTGATTACGGCATGTTTGATTCTGCGAGATCCACATCATGTGAGCGGCCACATACTGAAACTCGCTGTACAGTATAGCCGCCAGGAATGCCGCAGAAATGTCTTTGCCATTCGTGTCTGTCACCCGAGGAATGCTCTCCCAAAATCAGTCGTCTCTGCACTGACACTAACTATTTAAGAGACGGTTTGATGACGCACTCATTCACTTACACTTTGTCACTTAGCACTACGTCTCCATCCTACACCCGGTGTTCACCATGGGATTATTTGACCTTAACTGCGGGCGCTGTGAGTATAAGCGGATTGCAGGTCTACGGCGGAGCAAACGATAAGTCCTTATTTTCATATTTAAAGTACTAACTGTTTTAATATCATTATTGTTATTTCGATACCCCCACCAATTATCCAACGGGACTTGTAAAGCAACACTACTTAACCCGTATAAATTCATTGTTCATTGTCTGAGCCGGGAGTACTCGTTCACACTACCATGAAGCGGAACAGCTACCTAGGCATGCATTACAGCACTTGTATGAACAAGCGTCATGGGATGCGTACCAACGCAGATCACACGTGATCCAGGTGGAGATCGCAGATGCGTTATGAGCTGGGTTCGCAGTCACGCAGTATGCGGTGCAGTCATAGGCTCATTCGTTCGTTCTACAAGTTGACTGGTTCCCCTTGGTCAAACTTCGTCCTGAATGTTCACTTGTGTGCTGACGTCGCAACGAACCGGAGTGACCAGCCGTCTGACAAGCGGCGACATGCGTGGACACATGATGAAGCCTCATTGTGAAGCATCCGCGACGTGAAATCTCAATGTGGACGGCGAGCTACCTTGAAGTGATTTTTGGTCGGTTCAGTGGAGTAAGGGTCAAGGATGCAGCCGGCAGTCTAGTACCTCCGGCGTTCGAATCGCAGTCCTGTTATGGAGCGTAAACTTTTATGAAATCGGCAGTGGAGTGCGGTGTTGCGAGTGGAGCGCAATACCTAACATGTAATTATGTTGGGTACGGTTCACCTTCTAATAGTAGAGAGCCTAGTGCTAAATAAATTTTAGGCGCGAACACCAGAAATTTACTGCGTAATGAACCGTCTGTGGCATCAACGAGGCAACTATAGGCATGTCGACAAATTGAGGTAGGTATCGCAGACAGGTACGTACTCCATGTAAACCCGTGTATTGGGCAACGGTCTGCTCCATCACTGTGCAGCGTAGCAGTGGGATAGATGAGGCTTCAATAGGCTCAAACTTGAACACGTGGCGTGTGCAGCACGTCCATCCCTGAGTGGTTTGTCAGGTTTGGTTGCGTTCGGTGCGAGTATTAGCAAGAGACTCAACCGCAGATGTGGCAGTTCCATCGATCGATGACGGTTACTGGGATAAACTGGGTGCAATGATACATTGAAAGAACGGTTCTGATGGAATAAAAAAGAAACGTGGTGGCTCACCACCACCAGAATAGGTGGCAGTTGAGCTGTTCGCTGAGTTTAGCAATTTTTTTGCAGACATTTCGTCACCAATCGAGATGATATCATCGGTGCGTTGTTGAGTAGCGTGTAGTGTAGCAAAGCGTAGTAGAGCCTGCATGCGAGTGCTCCGGTTCTGGTGAGGAAAGAGTGACGGACCAGCCAACGTTTTGTGTGCCCCTGGTGAGTGTGCGTTCCCCGGTCGGATCCGAATCAATCGTGGCTCTAGACCGCATGTCTCGATCATACGTCTACGGTTTACAGTGAGTATGTGATGTGAAGATACAGCGCAAGACGCCTATGTTTCTCTGTAGACGCAGCCTTGCAATAGCTAATCGCAGTCACGAAACGTAACTGCAAACGAACACTAAAAACAACACAACAATGGGCAGCTACTTGGATTCATGACAATGCATACCCAAGTATGGTTAAATCATGTGCGAGATAGATTCAGAACTGAGAGGCACTTGAGTGCGCATAGACGAATTGAGCACTGGACATGGTAGGGTACGACAGCAGTACGCAGTGAATTTAGCAACGAGGATGACAGAAGTCTGAGGTATTCCAAAAGGAGGCAGCCGTTGATGTAGCAGAGCGCATGATGCCATGAGTTGGAATACTAGCCATTAAGTGCCCAATGATGTGAAGCATAACGAAATCCAAGAGTAAGTATAGGAAGCTTATCCTGAACAGTTACCCGGATTTTATTTGAAGAAAAAAAGGTGGAAAAGAAAGTCGGCTACAACTGGACAAAGAGATGCAGACCAGTGCGTAACCATACATTCCAAGCAGTACATTTCGAATTCAAATGACTTACTCGGTTCGCGCGACTTCCAGTTTCAAACTGACATGGGCAAGCTTTTGTAGAAACTCCGGTGGCAAGTCGGTTAGTTCATTGGCTACATCAGAGGTTTCATTGTCAACTGCGGTAGCATTCACCCCTGCAACAGACTGTGAAAGGAAGACAGCAGGGATAAATACTATTTGATGAGAAGATGGTTCAATTCGATATCGGTAGACCGCTTCGGTCAGCGTGGTGTAAAAAGGAGTAAAGGTAGATTGGACAAGTGGAAATGGGTGACTCGCTTTGCACCAAGCAAAGGTAATCATTAAGCTCGATTAATCAGTAAAGGAATCAATATGGGGTTCCCGTATCCCAATTAGCACCCTTGGTCAACAGTGAGGTCGCAAGATATGATTCCCACTAAGAAGCACTGCGCCGTCGAGGTACTCAAATTGCGGCAGAGAAGATCAGCATACAAACTAATTGAGCAGGAGGGTAAAGACCGAGAAAGAAATCGGCGATATTTAAATGAGAATGCGGTGAAAACATTGGACAACCTGGATGAACACTACTGATGTTCGTGAAGATGGATGGTGGTCAATCAGAAGACCGTTTGACGCTATTTCCTGCAACCTTATATCCGGGAAAAGGTACACGTCCCTTTTCCAGGCATAAAAAAGTTTCACGGAAGCCCTTAAGGATCTGTCATCCTACCAAACTTACATTTTATCAGGAACCGTGGAAATTTTGTAGAGAAATTACGAGGATCTGCAGTTGTATTCGAAACAAGACGAGTAAGTCAGATATTCTAAAATGTTACACAAGAACTTGTCGAACGATTTGATTATCAGGGAGTGCAGACACTTTGTACAATACTTTTGTCTATATTGCGATGGAGTTATACAGATTTATATATCTACTTGTTGCCACATACAGTATTCAGTATAACAGTAATGTTACCAAGTACTCAGCACGCAGAGTTGGCCTACAAATCAGAGCGCCTGCTGCGCGTTGTAAGTAATAGGCAGTTCAAATGATCAGAAAACTTGACAACGTTTTGCCCATATTAGCCAGCACGCTACACAAATAGGAATTTAGAAGCTTCTTGATGCTCCGAAACAGCTACGCGGGACCGGTTTAGTACACGATATGGAAAGGTTTCGACTAGTGCGTAGGCACCGTTTAGTTCGCCACAAATGTATGCATGTTACTACCGATGCACACATATAAATTCGAAACAATATAATAAAGTGCTAAATATATCTCAGAGTGGTGGTCATCCCACTGCATTCATCAGATTTTCGGTAGGGCTAACAGAGATTGATGATAACAACACCAGGAAAAAGTATACTAAACACTGTACACCTATCATCGCGATCCAAATCTGTGAGTAAACTCTTAAATGATAAATTTTGGAATAAGTAAACAGGTACTAGATTAGGAATGGCCGATGAACTGTAGTCACGAGTGTGGATATAGATGGTTTACATTTTAGCTCAACCAGACAATAAGCTATACGGGTGATTGGCGTCGGTGAGTACTTCCGAGAAAAACATTCCGCATAAGCAAATGTGATAATTAATTTAAACGAGATGACCAGTAAAATGACAATAACTAATAATGCATACGAAGCCCGTTAAGGAAAGGTGCTACAACAAGACAGCAAGCCTACTCAGCAGACCCGGAAAAATCCAGCAGAACGCACTCGGTGGTGAACCGCAGTATCGAGCAGCAAGAGAGATGAGGGCCACTAGAGAAAAGCGTGTAGCATTAGCCGAGACTTTGCACACCTCATTCACGTGAAGTGATCAAGATAAATCAGCATAACTGGCGTGGAGAAGTGCGAACCTACACAACCGATGAGAACCCGGGGGTGAGCAGTGAGTAGATGTTTGCAACGGCCTCATTAATACAGTGAGAACAGATGGCAATACTTAGTTGAGTATTACACTAAAAGTATGTAGTGGACTGCACTATTCTCCTCAGGCACCTGAAGTGGCCGCATGGATTCGACCCGGATACCGAAACAGCTGCTTTATGGACAACTCAGTGCAGAGAAACGGCACGACGGAAAACCGAAGTTACGGTACCAGGACATGAGCAAAGTAAGCCACTCACGTTCTAATCTTGATTGCAGGTCATGGGAATCGAAGACGGTTGATCGGCGTGCATGGCACGACCTGATCACGAAGGCCGTTGCCGAGATGTAAGAAAAACCTCTCGTGCATACAGAGAAGAGGCAGCAGTGGCAGAAGCGACATGCGCCGATAGGCTGCACTCCATCAACTTCCAGCGCAAGGTGCTGTAGTACGTGCGGTCGAGAATGCTTGAATCACACAGGTTTAGTGAGCCACGAGCGAGGCTACTCGGGTCCAGCATAGAAACGACGAAGAGTACTGCTGAGAACGTAAGCAGAACCGGCGCAGCGTTGGTAGGTACGCTGCATTCGATTTATTAACCGTGTGTTTGAGCACTGAGTTTCTTTATTTCAGGTGGCGGGTTTGCTACATTGTCTTTATGGATACTTTCTCACCTCATTGTAATGTGTACCTGAATAATCTGTTAAATGGAACATTTCCCTTATATTAAAGGTAGTTAGCTTCACTTATTTTTTCTTCTCATATATGTGTCTTAATCCCTTTTTCGGCCATCTCGAATGTATCACGGCCATTTTGATAATCCATTTATTTCATATGCTAATTTAGCGCCACAGCGGTATTCGATCGATTTTATTCGACAACTTATTTCATGTGATTGGTTGTTGCTTGACATCTTCGGTGTGGATGCGCTTGATGTGAATGTTGACAAGGTGCTTACCTTTCTATTACCCACTAACTCGTCTACGCTGGCTCCAAGAGCCAGTTGGTTATTGCTAGAGGGTACAGGGGTGCACGGTCCTCGTGGCCATGCTAGGCTCGAAGAGTAGTTCCATGCACTCACTGTGGAGCGGACTATGGTCCAGCCACCGCCTTGTGTGCGAGTGATTCCCAAATACAGAGTGCTTGTGTTTGTCTGTGAAGGAGTGTGGGCCAGCTCCCTTGATGAAACCTGGCTCCCATCCGCATGCCTCCCGGTCTTATTCCTTCGGGTTTACACTGGATATGGGATGTGTGGATGAAGCTGTGGGTGGTGCAGCGCAAGCCACCCATGGTCCCTCTGTAGGTGCCCTCGTCGTGGGGCTACCGCCGTAGAGGCCTCAGGGACAGGCAGATACGGATACGGATACCGCCAATCATTCCACTAAAACCATTTCCACAGAAGCACTAGGCCAACTTAAGTGTGAAAAAGAAACGATGACAGACGAGCTTCCTAAACAGAATCGCGAAGCCCTAAGAACCAGTGGCTTAATCAATGCGATTGCTAACCAATGCCTAAAGCTGTGGCCTACATTTTATGCCTATACAGTGTCGAAATACCGACAGTTCGGGTTGATTGTCCAGTTGTTGATTTGTTGGCCAAATTGGACACCCGGTTGAAAAGGTTTCATCACCAATCGAAATAACACTATCTGTGTAGAAGTGGTGTTGAATTGGCAGCGGATGCAGAATTCTCATTATTTTAACACGTCAACTCTTACGCACCAATAATATCACCTACAATGAAGACGAAAGTTGTAACCAAATGCCCGGATCGGTCATCATTACACGTTAGAGATTGTTGCTGGTCCGGATCAGTCAGTAAATAAACAAAGGAATATACATCTGATTACGAAAGTTCCTCGGAATTTGGGTGTATATATAATCCAAAATCGATAAGGTTACCCGATGTCCATACTACAGGTGAACGACAAGTTCTGCGTATAACCAAGAAAATAAATACCTATTGGGTTCAAGTAATCTTGGAGTAAACCGACGAAAATGCCCTGGTCCGTGATAGCAGCTCACATACGTGCCAAGCAGCAGTGGACAGGTTGACAATGATTGTCAACCATTTTGGACTGAGCTTGCACTCTCCGAATTCAAATCTTTGTTCCAAGATTAGCACGGACCTCCAATGAGCTGATCCATGGTGGGAATCGTTCAGAAATGCGACTTCCTGGGCAGCAATATCAACGCCTGTGGGAAAGATGAGATCACGAACCGTAGAGCCAAAGATCGAGGGTCTTTTGCCAATCTTCGCCGGCACGACATTACCGGGCCATTTCGCTAAATGTTCGATGGACATTTTCCAAAGTAATTCTATCTGCCTTGCGTAGGCGGTAATGTATGATGGTGCACTACTTTAGTGTGGGCCGCACTATGTGTACGAATGAATCAAGCCGTGTTTGGAATTGTGAAAATGACCTAGTGATGTAGTAATGTAGGTGCTTCGCTTTCGATACTTGATTTAGGAAGTGTTCGGAGAAGTTTAAGTTGCAAGAGAATCGAATTGCCAAGTTCCGTACGGAGTATGCGGTTGGGATGGAGGTACCAGTAAGAATGATAGATCTTTCTGGTATACTGCGTCTATAGCAGAGTATCCGAGATTTATCTGCCGAGAACCTCCGTGACCTGCTTAACTCTACTTGTCTTGGGATGGTAGATCTACGGGTGTATTCGTAAAAGACAGTTTCAGGTAGTCAGATGTACCCGTCTAATGTCGTCCGCAAATAAAAATATTTGCCCGTGTCTAATATCAACACATATTACATCGTTTGTCCAAATGAGGAAAAGCAGTGGGCTCAATACATTCCCCTGAACGGCACGGCAAGTGACGTTTCTGGGAGCGGAACAGTGTTGACCTATCTGTACTCTTTGTGTTCAGCCGTTCAGGCATGAGTGGAATCAGCTGATCCAATAGGACTCAAGCATGGTCAACAATGGTCTTTGTGATACGCAGTGAAACGCTTTTTGCATAGCCAGTGGGATGATGATCAAGAAATTCTGATTGACAGATGACACAGGAGTTGAAGTGAACGCGTGTTGTGAACTGCCAAGTAGATTAGTTTTATCAGAAGTATAGTAACACGATTCTTACGAATCTTTCTGTCTAAGCCGCGGTGGAAATATGGTTTGTCGACCGATGGTCTGACATGCAATCTCGTGGACTACTTTTGTAGTTCGGCATGATTATGGAATTTTTACAATGAGGCGGAAGGCATCCTTTGTGTCAGGACCGCGTAAAAATGGTCAGCACGATGAGGACTATGTTTTCGCAACCAAGCCCTATAGGCCCAGATTGGAATGTC